GAAATAAAGGGAAGGGGTGTTAGCTTACAAGATAAAATTATTTAGGTGTGTTTTTTTAGTAGAAACTTCTTATATGTTACAAGATTTTTAAAACCATTTAATTTCTAAAGCATAAATTTTAAAAATATTTTAATTTTATTTCATTAATATTTTTTTTAAATTCGTGCTTAATGGCTATTAATAAATAAATGCATACATAATAGTGGGATTATTATTATTTAATTATTCTGCAATAGGAGGGATAGAATCAAAAATGGTGTCAAATATTTAAAGTGGCATTGGAGGTGATTTTAAATTTGTAATATATTAAAAAATCGAATCGGCCTGTGATTGATATTTAATACGTATCAATATGAAAAAAAACATTAACACGGCGATTTGCATTTGGTAGATTGTACACGGTCGTCATTACTCGAGAGAAACGAATTTTTCGGCAAACGAGCGTTGTAGTTCGCCCCTTATAATAATAATATACGCGCTCAACTCCGCCAATCATTATTATATTATTCATCCGCCTCAGTGACGACGCACGTGCAACACTGCAATCGCTATATTGCGTGCGTATATTACATTATATACGTATATATTTACCTGCCATATATATAAATACCTACCACCCGCACTAACTGGGTAGGGGCGAATTCGCGGCGTGCGAGCGTTAACCGCACCGAAATCGATTGGTCTGGAAAATTTCGCAAACTCGAGTTTCACCCCCCGCGTGTGCTTTCTGTGTGTTTGTATGCGTGCGTTTGTGCGTTGTAAAAACGGCGACGAAGTTAAAATGCTCGCGAAACGTTGTTTTAACTACATAGTATACACATCATATATATATATATATATATATATATATATATATATATATATATGTTTGTGTATGAGCCAGGGTCGGGGGAGAGCTAAAGTAGTATAACGCGCACAACTGCCACTGCCGCCACAGTTCGTTTCCTTTTTTGGATTTAACCTCTGCTATGCCCGAGACGCAAACGGTTTTCGCTGTTTTTTTCCTTCAACCATTATATTTTATTATATATTCTTCGCGTTTTGTATTCGTTTGTGTTCGTACTTGTGTGTTATTATTATTATTATTATTACGTATTACGACGTTGTGCTCCGACCATACGACAAACACGTTAAGAAACGATTTCAATTCTATTCCGTTATACACTTATACCTATAACTATACTGTACATAATATATATAATGTGTATATAAATACGCGTGGTGTCCGAAAATGGTCTTAAATACTTTCACATTTACGTAGGTAGTAGGCACAAATTTAAACTTGCACACAACACATTTGACGTCGGCAGCGGTATTGTGTCTCGTTTAAAATATACAAACATTAACAAACAAAATGACGGTCTACATTATATATTTTTTATTACTGTTACATTCTTGTTATATTATTTCATTATTATCATTGGAGATATGGCAGACTAATCAACTAATTTATTAAGAATGCTGCAAATGATCTTCATCGTTAGTTATAACTTATAAGATATATTTGTTTATATCTTTTGTATAATGTATATATCGTTAAACGTAATTCATGATTTGTTCTTTACCATATTTTCATTTAAACATTAATTTTACGTAAAATTAAATCTTACGTAACACATTATTATGATTTAATATTTAGGCAGAGTTTTGTACACTCTTTAGATATTCATTAAAAAAATATTTAAATATTTCTTTACTTCTTTCTTACCTAAACTACCATAGTTCAATAACACGCGAGTATGCAACGGTATAAACTAAGCAACTTCATAAAAAGAATGCAGTTTTTGAAAAATTGTTACATCGAGAATTAGTTGAGATATGATGTCAGTGGTTAAATATATTATATTTATTTGTTCGGTATTTGCTCTGCCTAGACTTTGGAGAACAACAGCTTTTTAAGTTTTTTCCAATGATTTAAAGGTACCTATTATATTATTTGCAGAAATTGGATGGTAGAACGTTTGAGAGACGAATGCCTTATCGTTGTCTTATTTTTATATCCTTGACGGTGAAAAAGTATTACAGCATATTTTTATCAATGTCATTTGGTGGTATGATGAAAAAGTGGGATATTTACTTTCTTTTAGTTTTAAAACAACTCTACTGGCGGGCTGTTTGTGAGATTGGCACGATTCACTATAGGGATTTAGATATTATTTATTTAATACTTGAAGATGATTTTTTTTTATTTACGTAGGTACCATTTTAAATTATTTTTTTTATAGATTAGTTAGATATGATAGTTATTTAGTTATGACTTATGTAATATAATATTATGGTGTTATTATTACGAATACTTTAATTGTATTCAATGCATAGATAGAATTATTTTTCAACAATATTTATACATATTCTACTTACTACCTAAACTTAAAAATATCAAAGTTCATGTATTTATAGTACATTTTTTGACCAATGGGAAGATCATGCTCCCTTAAATCAAAATTAAAAAGGTTACAAGCAGGTGAAACATTGATTTTTTTTTTTTATTAGGGGGGTTAGTTATAATTTTTCTCTCTTGTAAAAACTGAAATTACGCTATTGTTCTATCATATTTTTATTACTAAATTTAATTATTAAAATTGGGAGTCCGAGAGTTGGATCAAAAATTATTATTTTTGAATGAATGAGAGCGACGAATAAGCGCGTTTCCGAATTCTGATACAAAGGTATTATCATAGCATAGAGTTCGTGATTATTTTATATTATTCGTCTGAAAATAAGCCACACCAACGACTGTACACTTTCCGTATCTTTCGACGGGATCTACCCAATTATTATTATAACCTATATAATAGATGAGACGTGTATTGTGCACATTGCACATATATATATATATATATACATGTATATATTTATTATATAAAGCACGCTGTTCGAGTTCGAAGGGCATATTGCTATCTGTGAGAAAGTAGTATATAGTTCGATTATTATTATTACTATTTTAGTTATTATTTTGCGGTGTGACGTTTTCACGATGCGCGCACCTTTCGCTCGATGTTTGATTTGTATAGAAATAGAATAATATATTATATTATTTAAATGGGTTTGTTGTGTATATTTTTAGAATCGATTCTCATGACGACGTCTATTGTAATTATGACGAAATGATAAAAGACCAAACCGACCAAAATGATTTCAGGAACGTTTGTATTTTGCGACCGCAATAATACAATAATCGTATATCAATAAAAAAAAAAAGTATAAATATAAATAATAAACCTAACGCTCTCGTCATTCGCTTACATACCTATATTATATTTATAATATATATTATAAACTCATTGATCACATCAGGGAAAAACTAAACTAGTTTTCTACAATATTTTTTCCTTCTTTCTCAGCTTTTTTCTGTTCTTCTATTCGAGTCTAGGCGATAGTGTAGTGTCCCTATATTATAACCTACGCCCTACGGTCTACCTACGTACACTGTGTACACTGTACATACTTACAAATAAATAATGTGTATACTTGCTCTCAGGACTATAATATTCGCATCCTCCGGGCCACATTATATACACATATCGACCTTCGATGTCTGTCACGAGACAGATGTTACTCTCGGTGTCCATGACCCGGCCCTATAAACACAATAACATTTCTATAATGATGATCACGGACACACTTGCATAGGCATATATACGTATAAAACAATAAACGATAAAATCGTCAATATTGCGTCAGATATTGTGTGTAATTATCTTACCAAATCAATTTGGCTGGGTGTGTGTTTTTTTAAAATTTATTTTGAAATCTAAAAAATCTTCGTTAAATCATAATAATATATAGTATGATGTATTTAAATCAAACAAGTTTATTAATTAAAATGTAAAACAATTTTCAAGAACATCGAATATATCCTTTAGGACTTGATCCTGAAGTAGTAATCTCTATTTATTTATATATTTATTACTGTATTAGTGTATTATTGGCTGTGTATAGTAATCCTTTTAAATATTTCGATAAGAATTTTCAAAATTAATTTATTACTATGTTCATTAAAGACCGATAGTAATACTTGTTTCAACTTTATTTTTCATTTATAATAAATGTTAATTTGCTTTAAACCTCATTAATCAACTTCAAAATATTGAATTCATTTTTGTGAAAAAATCTCCGCTTTTTATTTGCAGAGTTAAGAACGTTAAAAAATATCGTGCTATAAGTAATTATTATACTAGTGATAAATTTATTTTAATATTAAGACCAATAGCGGCAATAACTCATGTAAAAATGGTATTAAAATGAGTTATATAATCTAATAATGTGATGCTATAATATTTGGTTGATGTCCCACAAATAAAAAATAATAACATCCGCTATAAGCGCTTCGAGACGTTTTCAGTGAAATATATATAATATTTTCCGTTTAGACTAATATCGTAATATGAATATTATTATTATTATTATTATTCATCGTCGTCATTAAAGCTCTATACAGATGTGTGAAAATACGATATACACATCAGCTATGTGTACCGATATGTATTTTATTAGCACACTCAATGGAAACTTATTAAAATATGTTTATATATATAAATATACACTTGTGGTACATTATTATTGCGTACAGATATAGAATAACGCTCGAGGTGAATATTTAATTAAGAACCTTTGTGTGCAGAATTTAATTCAGTTTGTGAATTCGAAGAAAAATGTTTCAATAAACTCTACTGATGCTCGAACCAGAGTTCATCTACCACCGTACCCGAACACTACCTCTATTTAACGTATTTACAGCTAATTTACTGAAATATTATGCATAGCCATAATATACTCAAACATCAAACGTAAACGTGTGGGTATAAAATGTAATAATATGATATCTCGTTTTAATTTCCTATTGCGTTTGAATGCAACATATTGTATAATATTATATACACGCTCGGGGATAAATAGAATTATATGGTTGGTGGGCGCGAGAGAGTGAGAGAATTTTCATTCTAACATCTTGTCCGGCAATGACTGATCAAACTGTTTTGTATTTCCCGCTAAAACAGAAACTCTACGACTGTCGCCGTGTTCAATCAGCTGTTGCCGTCGACTTGGATAAATTTAGAGGGCACCTGTACGTGCTGGATAGCGGATACGACAACTGTCAACCGAAAATTATCATTTATGACCTAAAGACTTACAAATGTGTACGTATATACTATATACATTGCAAATATTATTACGATGTCACAGTTAATTGGGTCGATTATATTATTCGTCAGATTAATATTGCTGGGACGTACATAAATAAAATTGGGTGGATGTTTTCAAAAGCCTATATTAGATTAATATTATTTTATTTTTATTAAACAATCAAACAACATTATATGACCAAATATAAATCATATTAAAACTAATATAACATTATTTAGACAGTCTTTTAATATTTTCAATAGCACGCCTAATGTCAATATATAAAAATTCAAATTACACTAAAACAAAACTATTTAAAAATCAGTTGTTATATATATTTTATATATATATATATATAATCAGCTTATAAAACACAAAAACGATTCTAAGTAGTGAGAGAAAATAGATTGAAAATTTAATATTTTTATGAATTAAAAATAATATTACTAATATTTTAACCACGAAATGCTGAATGTTTTTGTTCAAAATAAAATGCTATTTGTTTGATGATGATATTATAAATAATCAGCATAAGTTTCATATTTTAAATTGTGACAAAAGTACCAAATTCGATACAGGTATAAAAAACGGGCGTGTTTAAAATACTATAGCGTTTTTGTGTTTTTAGTGGCTTTTTCTGATGAATTTTATGAAAACGTAAGAAAAACAAATTATGTTAATTAGGTAATTAGGCTGTAAGAATACCATAAATCTTTCTGTTAGCTAATTTACCCTCATAATATTATTATATTATCAGATTGTTATTGTTGTCACATAGATCCAATTAGTAGAACTAGGTGGACTCAACGGATCAGGACTAGCCATGCTGGTGGTGGATGCGAGACCGTTCAAAGGTGAGACGAGGGTGTATATAGGTGACACACACAGCGGACGTATCGCGGTATTGGACCCGGACCGAAACATTTGGTACATGGTCGCATTGCACTCCCAGAATTACGGTGCCGCAGTCATACAGGACTACCGCAGACCAGATGTCTACCCAGACGTTCCTGCAGAATGTATCGCTGTCTCTAAGCTACAGTCATCTGTGTACTTGACGTCAACGCACTCGCATGACTTGTACACGGCTTCGTTCAAGGATCTTCGGAATCTTACCTCTAAAGTCACGCCTAGCGTAAAAGTATAAATGCCTGATCGCCTAATATTATTATATTCGTCTACACTGCTATGACGGAAAAATGGGTAATCGCCATATGCGGAAGTATGGAATTTGTGGGAGGACGGCTTACTTTTGTCATATTTTTATCGTTTACTTGTTTAAAATAATTATTTAGTGAAGCCTAGAATGATTGTCTTCAAAAGTTATATTTTGGAATTCATGCATAACAAAGGACAATAATAATATACGCATAGCAGGATACCTATATTGATATTATTTTGGAAGACTCGAAAAAATAGGCGTCGTAATCTATTCATATAAATGTATATACATTTTTACAGCCTACAGGTAGCCACAATAGACAATTACCATTGATTAAACATTAAACAATTTAAAGTATTTTCCAAAAATATTTTATACAGTATAATGTCTATGGTATTATATATAATTTCGTCAACAGTTAAAAGAAAGTTTATCGGCTATATGTGTCAAATAAAACGAGGTTCAAAATATAAATGAAGGTTTTGTTTAGCTTTGGATCATATTTAAAAAGGAATTTACAACAATGAAATTTTTAACTCATTTTCATTAATAAAAAATAAATAAAAATAATTCAATTGTTTTAAAGTTATTTATTTATTTTAAAATTAAACAGACTTTTATTACTACTATTGTTAATAAAATGTGTATTTAAAACAAATCAGACAATAAATAGTTAAGATAGCAATATTCTGTTATATATTAAAAAGTAAGCCCTCCCCTGAAATGTTATTCCAGTTCTATCGCTTTATTCGTTTAACAACATAATACCTACTTTCATATCCTTTGTTCGATCGTTTTAACCGTCTAAACCTACTTACCTACAATAAATTGCGTAAATATACGGGTATGATTATTACAACAAGACGCCACACTGTATTTACGCGGCGCGCGTTTAATTAAAATTACAACCCATTCGTAATTATACTGTCTTATATAAGACAATAACTATTTTTTCCCCTTTTAATAGTGTCTACATAATATCCACGTGGTGTCTTCGTTTTATTACCGCGCACAGCCCATCACATGCGGCGTCTTCGTGTTTAATTCTTACGGAAATGTAGTAACTTTGGTCACCACTATCGTTGTCGAAACGGTTTGAAACTTACATAGAAAATTATTTTCTTCGTTGCAGAACGGTGATGTGCTTCCGGTTGGATTGCGAGTGCGCTGGGAAGGCGTCAAGCTGGGCGTTTCGAGCGGACTGTACGCTGACATACAGGGTGGTCTAAACTATGTGTATACCAGAGATTTCGTGGCTGTCAGGTGAATATTTAACAATATCATCTATTCGTATATTAAAATACGATATGTGGGACTCTCCATTGTAGTTATCAATTTTAATAATTATAATATCAAATGTGAAATTGAATAATATAAGGCATATATTATTATTATGAGACATAATTTGATTATAATTGCGGTACAAATTTCCTGGACAGGAACAAGTTTCCCGATATTCTACATTTTCTATAAGATATATGTAGAATTTCTTAAGACAAATTAATTATTCGATTTAATGCGTGTATTATTTTATACTTATGTATAGATTGAGTTTGATCGCTGGCGGCCCACCCATCGCAGCAGAGAACCATAAGGTGCTGTTGCAGTCGTACAAATTGTTACCGGCGGTCACGAAGATTTTCACGGACAACGCGAATTATCTGCAGGTGTGGGCTCTAAACGCCGTGCCCAACTCGAAAAACCGTCATGTGGTCAAAATAAATACGCTTACGTTTTAAACGTCGTTATTGACGAATTCAATATATTATCCATTATAAGGGGATACTTGGAGGATTTGACGATTTAAATGAGCAATATTTCCGTCCCTTTAAGATTCACTCTATGTAAACAGGGATGATTCACTAAACATGCTCATCGTCTCTTTCATATTACTTTTAGTAATGAATTTATAAAATTTCTTATTTTTGGAATTCCTAAGCATAATATTAAAGACCGTCGTTATTTTAAGTATTTATATTTTTTTTATGCCATTAAACGTGGTTCTGTTTTTGTATTGATACAACTATACAAACTAACAACTAACAAGTAACAAGTTTGGAAGACATGTTTGATGAATCATCCTGGATATACACAATTATACACGGTTATAGACGACGTTCATAAATTGTAAACATAATATATCTATTTATACTATATTCTCGTACATCATGTCGTTCCATATAAGTAAATATAACCATCACCGTTTACGGAACTTGTACATTATTTGAGGTAGGTACCATGTACTATAGAATGATCAATATTCTATTTAAATAATTACAATATTTATTAATTATAAAGTCTATTTTTTCGTTTTCGAAAAAAAAAGAATGTTTTTAGGTAATTTAAGAAATTACAAATTTACTTAATATTACATTTTGACAAAAAAAATTAAATTTACATTATTTTTTATCATACAGAGGTTTTGTATATTTTTTAACTTCACAATCAGAAGAACAATTCTTTGTTGATGTATTTACGAAATATTATCCACAAATATTGAATAAATAGTTTTTGTATTAGAATTATGTATTTATTTTAAATTTTTATTTATAATTAATCAGTTTTTTGTAAAAATGTAGTATTATACTAGTGTACATATAGTTCTATAAATATTTTAAATTATATAGAACATTAAATTCAAAAATACAGAAATTGATGTGTGAAAATGAGTGTAGCCTGTTAAATAGATCACTCCGTAATCCGTATGATATATGTACGTACATACGTTATGCAAAATAAATAGACTGTGTGGGCGGGTTTCATATGTTCGTTTATAATAGATATATTTTATATAAATCTACTGTAATATATTATTGAGGACGATTGCAGGTTTAGGGGACTATAGGGGAGTTAACGTAAATTAATTAAATCAAAGGATGTTTTCATTTTAATTATATGTGAAATGAAAACGAATTGAATGTGTTAAGCTAATATAACTAATATGTAAGTACAATTACCTGTAAAATATATTTTACAACAATAATACAATACTATATCTATTTATATTACATTACACGTAATAGTTGGTATAAACTGTATGATATACATAAAAGTATATAAAATATTATATGCGCTTGTTTACTGTTTATAGTGTTTATACCATTTAAAGATACTAGACATATATAAAACATATAGTCTTTTATCATAAGTCACGTATTACCAAAAATATCTCTGTGATAAACCCGATATGTACGTCATTATAACATATAATATTTAAATATAATTTTCTCAACATTAGTAATCTATAAGAAAATTCAAACGAATGGCATACAATTTTAATAAATTATTATTGCTAAAAAAAAAATGATCACATTTTGATATATTGATTTTTCACAAAGATAGATAATAATAGGGCGATACGGGATCTTTGAGGCGTACTAATTGATTTAATAATGATTTCCATTGTAATGTACTAATGTAATACTTATATTTATTCGCCTAATGCTAAATTAACTTACATAGATTCCTCTTAGATATTTTTGAACTTAGATTGGTATTATTATTTGTACCTATCTATAATTTGAGTGAATTTTAAAGATAAAGATGTTATTAAATCTCAATTTTTGTATTTTATTGAATTAAGTAGTATATGTGAAAATATAAACTCTTATCTTTACGACGACTAAGTCGTAAAAATGCTCAGTTTTCCTGCTCATCATACGAAAATGTTCATGGCTTCCGGGTACAAAAGAAAAATCTACTGGAATGTATTAAACTTATGGTAATTCTGAAATCCAATAACCCTCCGGATACGCTTGTTATGTTAAAGTATAGCAAAATAAAAATATACTTTTTAATAGTCGCTAATTATTGATTGGTTAAATCCGTATTGAATTGAGCAGTTAAGCGTAATAATACAATTTTGGGATAAACTTGTTGTAGGCTTAAATTTATTTGTATTGCTATAATGAAAAAAAAAATGTCTTTCTTAGTAAAATTTTACTTGAAAATATGTAGGTAAATAATAAAGTTAATAACATATTTTAATGATAAAGTTTTTGTAATTTAGCGTTTATAATGATACTTGCTTAAAGTATGATGGGTATCGCATAATATATCATTAAAGAGGTTAAAAATAAGTTTTTAAAAACAATTATTTATGTTCCACGAATTTAATATGGTTATAACTATATACTTACTTTTTTAACATAGGTAGGAAAAAAGTCGTAAAAACTGTCTAAAGGATAAATATTTAATATTATTCTTAAGTTACAAAAAGTCATGCATTTTATCATTTTTATAATAATAAATAGAGTTATTCAAGTACTATTTTTAATGAATTTGTCATTTAATATTATACTAAAAGGTATAGTAAGTAAGTACATTACTCACAAATTTATAAATTGCTTAAAATGAAACAACGAGTAAAGTTATTTTATCATTTAGAGAAAAGATTTTCCATTAGGTAATAGCGCAGTACAAATTGTTAATTTTACATTTTAAAAGTTTGTACTTTTTAATATAAAATAAGTATTTAAAAGCAATTTATTATAATTTTTTAATAAAGATTAAAAGAAACATTCTCATTTATCCATCAAAGATAATTGTATCACAAATGTTTATTTTAAATTGCATAAAAACTAACTTTTTAAGTTTTTTTATTTTTTATATATTTATATATTATAAACATATTTATACAACAGTCAACATTAATGATTTTCTGTATCGTATAAACATCAAGAAAATACTTCACAAATATTTATTTTTGTTTTTGTGATAATGTGTAATTGAATAATTAATTATTATTATTAATTTTTTAATTTTAATGCCATTTAAAAAATCTGTTTAAATAGATTAAAAAAAAAATCATGCATCTGTCGACTTACAATATAACATTTAGTTAGATAATCGTTAAGAAAAAGTTTTTGATTTTTATATTAACTTTGTCACGAAACGATAAAATTAAAATACAAAATATTACATTTAATTATAATACTTTTGTATCATGGTTAATAGTTAATACACACAAATTATTGTAGGTATTCAGGATAAGACGTATAATTCTTTATTACTATGCATAAATTAAATATTCATTCTTATTAAAAATGAGGTATTTAATGACCTAACAATGGTCATTGCGTTAATTTGAATTTGATGACAAAATATTAAATTGTTATTAAAAAGTATTCAGTACAATACCAGCTGTTTTATTTAATATGATTGATATGTACAAAATTATATAAATACGCATTACGTAAGAATTATCTAAATTGTGTAATATTACAGTATTACACTTATCTAGTATTTTTAATGAAATCCATACTAATCATAATAGTAAACTACATATTTTATTAGTGCAAACACTGAGAACAAAATATCAATTTAATTTGAATAAAAACCGTTCTTAATAAATAATAATATTTTATTGTGCTATTATAAACATACATTTTAAATATTCTTTTAAACAAATAAAAATAATAATAATAAATACCCCCATCTATTTTTGTAAAGTTATAAAGTATTAAGTAAATAATTTAAAATTAAAATGTTTACAATAAGGATTAGGGATTTCCAATTTTAAAATCAGAATTGTATTATAGTAAATTAAAGAAACACGGTTTTATTAAATAATTTATTCTTATGGTGTGTAGTGTGTCTAGTTAATATTATACAAACATAAATTTACTTTTTGTACCTACATGATTTAATCGTTTTATAATATAATAAATTGATTGATAAAAAAAATATTATTATACTAGCTTATAATATTACTTCAAATCTATTAACACATTATTTACCAATTAGTTAAAAGAGATTGTTTCAAATTGTATCTTACCATTTATGTAATATATTTTTACGATATTTACAATTAATACAAATTATTAGCGTTTTTTAATACGTTGCTATCTGTTAAATAAGTGGGCATAATATGGAATTAAATATTTTTTTTTAATTTTCGTGAATGTGATGATAAATATTTTAGGATCACAATAAATTTTATATTTTTTAACACTACGGAGAAAAATATTGTTTTATTTCGTTGCATAGGTAGTGGTAGTTAGTTTTTTAGTTCTTCGAGCTACTAACTATACTCGTTTACGTGGTTATAGTATATCACACGCCTTAAAATAAACATTGCTTATATAAAATACATAACTATTTTTGTTATGTATTTATGGGAAATTTAAATATACATAATAAAACTTATATTTTTATTGACACAATAATTTTTATTTTAAATAAATTTTATAAATTAATATTAATAAATTTCGTATTTTAATATTATAATTATACAATAATATAAAATACATTAATTTAAAGAATCAGTACCTAGATAATACTTGAATATTTAAATAAATATGTTATATTTTAGGTATATTATATTCATTAAATAGTTACGCATTTGGTATTTACATGTTTTTATAATGTTTTATTATTATGCACGCAGTTATGGGTTTTTATTTTCTTATTTGGACAACGTATTTTTATATGTTATATAACCGTAATTTTCAGAATTTTCTTATATGTAATAATAAATTTTGTTTTATAACTCTCAATAGGTACGAAAATAAATATTATTTATAATTGTATACAATAAATTTGATACGTTTTAAAATTAGTTTTTATCGAACTTAAAAGACGCAGTAAATTTTATCCCACTAACATCGGACGCTAAATTGACTCCCGATAAAATTCAATTATACCGTCTAGTTTACGCTGGTGAATGTAAATAATTCCGTTTAGTAGATACATTATAAGGAGTTATCAACGATGTTAATAAATCTTTAGTAAATTGAGTTAGTTTATTTCGTGGATTTAAAACTGATTTATATAATTTATTAAAATCTGACACAGTATTTCAGATAGTAAATGTCGTCAAGTGACTCTTCACAGATTCCTTCGCGTGGTTGAAAGAGTTGCAAACGTGACTTAAAAGCATCCTTCGAGTACACGAACGTTTTGCACGATTCCGCAGCCGACGGTATTCTGTGCAAAGTCCGGAAAGTTCGACTCGAGCACCATGAGCCGGTTCCGGTCCCGATCGGCCATCACCTGAGTAGCCAAGAAACAGGAGGTAGATCGATAGACCGGCGAAAAGTTTCCCACAGTGAACGGTCGAGCCGCGTCCCAGCTCTGCACTTCGGGTGAAGCGTCATATCGGAAGAACAGTTTTGTGCCTCCGTCCGTACCTAAAATCACCTGAAACCATAGAGCGTTATTAATGAAGTTTTTCAATTATGCATTTATGATTTATTCAATTAGAATTATCTGGAAAACACCACGAGAAGGTTAGCCACATTATAGTATAAAATATCTAAACATATATATTTTTTGATAACTATTAAATAAGTATTATTTATTATAATTACGCATGGTATATTATGATTTATGAGCCTTAAGAATATAATGTCATCTTTAATCGTAAATAATATAGAAATAAAATATCATAGAAAATTGATACACATTTAAATTTTTATGTTAAGGTCGATTTATTGCGTTGATATCAAATGGTTATATTTCTTAAATGTAATTTTGTTTTTCGATAATCTTGTGTCTGTTTAATTTTTCTTTATTTAGACTAGTTGTATTCTAAAAAGAAATTTTAATTTTAAATAACTGGTCATATAACATTTTTTTAAACTGGAATGCAATAAAATTATATGCTGATCGTTTCAAGATTTGTCAAACTTAGTCTTTGTGTTTTATAATCTGGGCGCGATTCATCTAGTTTATTATTCATTCAACGGAAATAAAGGTGAAAATAAAAACATCAATATTCCTAAGGAAAAATATTTTGAAAATTATCTGTGGAAAAAATAGAGGTAAGTATAATAAATTATGTGCGACGTGTTTTAACTGGTGAAACACCGACGATTTAAGTTATAAACACGATGAGGACATTTGGGTAAAAAGTGCATACACGTATAACTATATTCAACAAGATACAACAGCTGCAGTACCAGGAAATATTATTATAATAATTGTATACATTAAATTATAGTCACACGTGTACACTCGTGTAAAATTATTTCATTGTAATCTGCATAAGACATAAAGGGGATTGTATTCATTAAATATAAAGTGGTATTTATGGATATAAATGCTTAAAAAACTGTGAGACTTTGAGTTGGACAAATTTTAATTTTGATAAAAATTTATGTTTTATTTATGATATACATATATGTTTGGGTTAAAATATTTTGTTATGTTGTTGTTTTGAAGTTAAGTTGAGATCGATGATACACAAATATTATTTTTTTAATGTCAAATCTTATTACTTAAATTTTATTCAAAAATGTAAAAATTGAAGAGTTTTTAAACAGTAATTATACGAAATTAAAAAAAATTATGGGATAATCAATCAAAAGTAAACTACATGAAATTTTTAGTTTGTTTTCACATTTTTTATGCCATTATTAGCTTAGTCATGGTACGATGGACACAACGTACACGATTTTTGGTGAAAAATGTTTTTCTGTAGTTAATGATATGTGCGTGTCTTATATCTTTTTTATACCACAGTACACACAATAATGATCACTTACTATGCATACAATCAAACAAGTACACAAGATGCACGCACACGTTTAAAAAATTGAAAGTTTCGATACATAGACAATTTTACACACGATAATGTTTCTTAAAAGGGAACGGAAACGGATAAATAAGAAAAATACTTACAAGCGTAGTCATTTTCTGATGTAATCATGATTTAGACTATTTTTTTTTTTATCAAAAAGACAACAAACTTCTGCTGAACGACTAATAGTCTATTTCGGGTTTTTTTTTAACTAAGTTAAAATTATAGAAATTTTTGACTTGAATTATTAAATTTATTTAGAAAAAAATATGCCTCTATCTATAAAATAATACGTATTTTAGAATGTTATCGTCTCCTCAGGAAATGAAAATTGAAAAAAAAAAATTTTAAATTTATAATTCAGAAAGTAACTAGGTACATAAATTTAATTCAAACAATATATTAAATTTGTATTGTCATGAGAATTATACATAGTCCCTTAATAATTATTACCTATTAAATATAACGCACACTGACGAATCACAAAAAAAACACAGCTATTGCAACTTGCCTGTAATTTTTTTTTAATTAAAGTAAAGTACTAATTGCAGTCCTCAAACTTACTGATGTCAATAAGAGGTAGCGACTATTACTTCGCTTTTTACATGTATTGTAAAGAAAATATGTTAAAACTATTTATTTCTTGTGGGATTTTTTTTTTTTTGTTTAGCAATTTACCCAAAGATTCTTCCAAACCGCGTTAAATCCCCTCATACTAACACTATAAATTTCCATTAAAATGACTTAAACACGCTTAATACAAAAATAAAAGTAATTCCTGTGGTTTGGTTTAAAAAAAGTAAAGACGTTTGACTACATACAGAAGTGTACATAATATGCATCTACATAATATTTACATACCATAAACGACATAAACTAATAAAACTATTGATGATTTTAAAATTTTTAAAAATTTTATTCGCCATTATTCGTACATATATTTAATTTGTTTTGAATATTTTAATCTACTAACTAAAATAATATGTGTTTTTGCTAAATCGTGCCCGCGAGGAATGAAAGTAAACATGCCTATGCACAACGCCTTAAAAGCTACGCGTTTGCTAAGACCTTGTGTATGTTATAGTTTCAAGAACAATCGTTAATAAAGTGTTGTAAAAAACCCGTATTTATTTTTGTTTTTACAACACTTCTACAATACTTTCGAAATGTATAATATGTCTTACTACTATTTTGATCTCATACGTTTTTTTTGTATCGGTAAAAAAACAAAATTATAGCTTACGTCCTCTCGTCCGCACAACTGTGTTCCAATAATAGTTTTATATTAATATTACTAATAATAATAATAATATCGTGCGCGTGACAAGGCTGTTGTTAGCTCACCATTCTATCTGGTTTGACGCCCAAATCGGTCACTTTGCCAGCAGAACCTCGGCGTAAGTATTCGGTCCGAACCGTGAACGCCCTGATACCCGACAAGTATGTGACAATTAGCGCCGCAGCGCCTCCCCCGCACTCGGCCCGGACAAGCGCCACATACAGGACGTCGCGTTTCGTACATCCTGCAGCGATCTCCTTGGGCAATACCACTCGCGATCCCTTTGATTCGACTACGTCGTACACAATTACTGCTCGGTTGGCCGCGTCCGACACGTACACGTAACACTTGCTGTCCGTGTCGTCGTAGTCCACAACTAGATTCTGGAGCCGACTCATGGGCGTCGTCAAGCACGTCAAGTCGATTTTTTCGAAGAGCTGTAAACATCGATTATTAGTTTATATTATCACTTATCAGCAGTGGAGTATTTATAAATTTTTTTTGTTTTTATGAGCGGGGGGTGTAATTATAAGGAATAATAACTATTGAGCAAGTTTTTATAAAATGGCAAAGAATAAATTAATGATAACCGCGATTAAAATTACTGTTACCTATTCACATACAATGCCCAAGTAAAATCACTGGTAGAATCTACAAGAATGATTAAAATTTCTGCCGTATAAAAAAAGAAAAAAATCTGAAATTATTTGATGTGTATTACGAAATTTAATTTAATTTATATAATTTACTTTATTTACATATTTCTGCTACTAAAATGTTTTTTTTTAAATTTTTTTAATTTAATTTTTAGTGTTTTATTTTTCTATAAAATTTCAATTAAATATAAATAAATACCTATAATTTCCGGCAAGATGAAACCCCTCAACAATATGAGACTGATTATAATGCATCTCATAAAAAGTAAATAAATAAATTTCATGTGTATTCAAATAGAAATAGATACGGTCAATATAAATAAGTATTTCAGATGTATCTATTTTAATAAATGTATTTGTAAAAATTTTTATATGTTTATAATTTATTTACTTCATACTAAAATAGCTACATAGAATGATTCAACAAGCATATTCGCTCTTTTTTTCTTCAATAATGCATTGATTCAAAATTTGATTTTTAAATTTTATGCTTAAAAACCATATTTTTAAATTCTTGAGTTTTTTTCTATTACTTAAAGAATATCCTAAGGAGAAATTAACTTCAGAAATTATAAATGATGACCTCCGACCTCCCCTTTTTCTTCAATAAATTATTTAGTTAAAAACTTTTAGTTAATGTGTCTAAATTAAAATTTGAACGATTAATTTTTAAGTTCTTAACTTTGTGCACCATGGATAATATAGGTGCTTGTGTTTCTGAGTTTGGAAGATACGATAGTATGAAAAATATTAGTTATTACTTATGAACCTTATTAATATTTATAACATGCAAAAATGTTCCAAGGATAATCAATACTAGATTCATTATCACATAGATTTTTTTTAAAACCATTTTTAAGGACAATTATCCTTAGTGTAAAAATTGTAATAACTGAAAAACTATTGGTTCACATTTTTAATTAGATACATCAATAACGTTTTCAAAAAATTATCTAATAGGTACATAAGTTAAAATAAAAAAGAGGGATTCTCATTTGAAAAACAGAAATTTGTACTACCACAATATACTTCTTAGGTAGAAAAAAAATCACAGAAATATGAAATATATGGTTTAAAAGTATATTTAAAAAATTCCAAAAATTAAAATTTGAAAAAATGTACTATTCAAATTTAAATTGGAGTGAGTAATCTTTATGAAATTATGAATTACTTGTATATTTAATGGATATATTAATTATAATCAGTTAAAATGTGTAGAATACCTTTAAGGAAATGATAATTTGGCAATGTCTCCGAATTCTTAAGCTCGTGATGAAAAACAGAGTAGTTCTAAGAATCAAAATTAAATTATTTATGCAATAGTTATGAATTCATATTTTATTTTGATTTAAAAATTGTAAGTGAGAGCCCTCATATACTATATTTTATTAATTATTTTGATTTTATTATTTAGTATTTATATCTCGAAGGTTAGTAGGTAATCTTTTAGAAAACTATTAATACTCTGTCTAAAGTTATATTTCTATACAAACATAGTGCTTTTAATCTAAACTTTGCCTTATAGTGGAACGTAGCCATTGCGTCTGCCATGTAACTCCGTTGTTTGATAAGTGCGCGGCTGGTACAACTATACATTATCAGTTATGAGCATGTCAGAAACATCGAAATTAGTTTTTTGGACATCATCGACGCCTGCAATATATCGATTCTTTATCGACCTACTTTCACTGTATATGGCCTCGGAGCCATCAACGTATAGATCGCATATACGAACGATGTATATGGGCGTGTATGATAGCGTTTGTTTTGGTCAAATGTTATTCCAAAGATGAAACTCTTTTTGGGCCAACAAAAATTAAAATTTGCTAATAATAAAATCATTATAAGCGTTTACCCGCGGGCCTATTATGTTAATCTGCCAGTGACGTTTTACGTTTAACCTCGTTGAACGTTGGTTGGCTCAACTACATTTTGTTAGTGCCATATATTTCAATTTCATTATGAAAACTATATAATTTCGAAAATACTGATTGAGTTGATTAAACACGATTCGTGTTTAAAAAGCTGGAAGAAATCGACGATGTCAGTCAAATTTTAAAATATACGTGTCTTTGGACAATTGCACGGCTGCACGACGGTCTTAATTAATCATTATTGCATGAGGCAAATATTTTTATTAAATCCAATAATCATTTAACACTATTAATACGTAACTATTATCTATATAATATTATAAAAATACGGAAAACTCTTTTGACTCAAACATGTGTACGAAATTTGTCCAGTAGAAAAGTCGGCAAGAAAAATTAACTTTAAAATCAATAGAGTTTGGAGCTTTATATTATACATGTAGATAAGTAAAGTTAACAAATGTTTAAAGAAGATTTAAAGTTTAAGTACCTACTAAAAAATTCATACATACATTTTTAGAAAATTCTTAAGTAATTAAAAGAATAAAATTGATGATTCAAATCATTCAAACATTAATAATTGACATATCTATTCAAAAGTAGATAATCAATAGCAGTTTTCTTAGTCAGGTATGATAAATAGTAAGAAACTTATTTATATACATTATTTAAAGTAAATTAATTAATAATATTATGATCATTTGAAATATATGTAATATTGTTCTAAAATATTAAAAATAATTGTAATACCAAAGTCAGTAGTTTGCTAATAATATATTTTTAACTTATCTGAGTACAAAGTATGCAATGACTAATGATCCTTCATACAACTTCACTGTATCAAAATAATTCAATTCCAACAACAAAGCATATTATTATTATATTCTTTTCATTTAAATTTTCTTCAAGTACAACGTGATTCTTAATATTACATTTTATTTAAAAATTAAAAAAAATGCGAGCATAACGCGAATGTATTTAAACAAACGTAGCTACGTAGGTACTATACTATTTAATAAATGAAACCGATGATGAAACCTTAAAGCAAAATAAAAAATAATATTTTTTTTGTAACGTGTTATATATTTTAATTAACTGTACTTAAACTATAAGAACTCGAGGTTAAACTGTTTACCAACTCTTTATACCCGATTTAATAATCACATGGTTTGAAAATTATAGATTATAATTAACAAATATTTTACACAAACAAGTGAACAACATGAAATCGAATACCTATGCTGAACATTTCGCTGTAGTAGTAATCCTGCAGGATTTCATGATAGCGTAAAGCGTTATTATAATATATATTATGAAGTCCTAAAATGCGATCGTCAAACAGATACTTAATATTATTTTACGCCAGCGTTATTGTTATTTACGCTGATTCAATAAGCAGAGATCAAACGTGTTTTAATAATAATACGAAACTTACGGAAAGACAATCGTCCCGATCGGTGTATATCATATAGATATATAATATTATCGACCGAACTCATTATTAAAATGTATTTTTGTTGTGGGTCAGTTCCTGAATAGATTTGTACATGTAAGCGTTTACCTAGTTCCTACAATATGTCTCTTGTGGTCGAGAGTGTGAGAGAAATAAAAATAAAAGTTATTAAACTACATGGAACGTTGCACAACACCCGTTGACGTTCACGCCCGGCGACGAGATCAGCTATGCGTATGGCTTAACGAGCTGCATCAGTCATACGGTTACCCAAACTCTACTATAGGTACATGGTCGTATAGTTGCCACTCGAACGAAATCGAATTTCTACATTTTAGTTCATTAATCATTTACTCTGCACAAACTACTCTATATACGGGGTGATTCATTTAGGTATAACTACTAAATTTCATGTTTCTTTAATACGCGTTTTAAATTATATATTATAGTTTGTACATATAGGTGGTACTGTTATAACACTATCCTAAAAAACTTATAAGATACACTACTTTGTTCATTTAATATTTCAACTATTATTTACCTACTTGTACATAAAAATGTTTAGAAAATAATTCAACTTTAGATTATGACATTGAAAATAATATAGACACGTGAACATAATAAAATTAAAATTAAAAATATATTTTCATGTGAAAATATAATGTCATAAACACTACAGTCTATATTAAACGTGAAAAATTATAATTGTAGTCGTGTAAGTGGATCACCCTATATTATACCGAAATGAACGTATTACCGCAATGATATCGTTATTCCACATCACATCCGCACCCCGACGTGGTTTGTAAATTGTAATTAACGTTATAAAATATTTTCAAGTTCGATCGAATCGGTATTGAACTGGTGGGGTTTGCATAGAGTAATTAAACTTATAAAACGAACCCTATAGAACTCTTATTAGCACGCTCTAGTTATATACGAATAGGTATAACAAATCCAGCGCTCTTATGCTATATCATGATGAATAATTAAATATATTGGTAAATTCTTACGTACCTAAATGTGGGCTGTAGTCCGTATATGACTTATTTATGTGCCTATAATATAATATACTGTTGAGTGGATGATTTTTTTACCATTATCCAAACTATCTCGAAGGTTATCATTTTTTATTTTTAACACTCTTGATATTATTGAAAATATTGCGTGGCTTTCTATAATCGAATCACTCTGTATATAAACTGAAACTTTTCCCGTAAGATGATGATAAAGTTAAAACAAGGGGTGTGCTGCCGAAAAATCGATATTTTTTCCATACACCTAATATCTACGCTGAATAAACTTACACTAATCTCGACATGGAATAATAATAAGTTAATAACACTGTTTTCAGTAGGTATAATTAATGTTATAGACAATCAACATTTTTAATACCTGCATTATATTACTGGTACTATATTTGATTTAAAAATAATAGTGTTTTATCGTCCATTCATTTTGCTACGGTATCGTACGAATTTGCACTCAAAAGCTATCTCTTTATTGTCATAATGTAACGAACAAGTAATAAAATGGTAATGCAAATATAAATGCCAGACACGGTTCAAGGGTAACTTGTTTAAAAGTGAAATGAGTGAGTTGGTTTTAAGTCCCAGGGTTTTTATGTAGAGTTTATCTTTAGCTATGTTAGTGGTAAAAACGATTACTTTGCGCGTGTTCAAGTCAAACGCCCATACGATTGGTGGTCCCGTTCTCAGCGGTTGAGTGTCGTTGTCCAACGTCTGCACAATGCCCGTGTCCAGGACCCACAGCACCTCCTGCGCATCCAAGTACAAGTCGACGGCGTTTTGCACGTCACCCGACTTACCTTGTTCCTGAACCGACAAGCAGGGGTATGGCGTCAATATTGGCTCATCACACGCGTCAGCAGTAAACAGACAAGTCGTGGCCACAGTAGCTGGCACGCCGGATCGCAACCTAAAATAGTGAAGTTATAACATACGTTTGGTATTGATATGGACGCTGGAGATATTTTTAAATCGAGAATGGACATTACAAATGATTATGTAACCAATTTTTGTTTCAAACGTATAGAAATTGTGTAAAATTTATCATTTACGCGAAATCATTTCGTCGAATTCCTTATCATTAGTATTTAATTTATAGAATTAATATTAGATTCGTTTTTTGAGAATCGAATGCTAAAACTAAAATCATTCGATCATAAATTCGATAAATTGTGAATAATTGTATTTTTTTTTTTCTGTGATATAGAGCCAGAGTTTATTCGGTTCGAGTCGACGTGTGTAGAGGCATTTGCAAATACAAACCTGGGATACGCCAAGTACAAGTCATTTCCGCATATCTGGGCCCTGAGCGCAATATTGTTTCTCGGCACATAACGGCCATCGTCTCTAAGCAATGCATCCACCGTATCGCACTCGAACCGGTACTGGGCGCCAGTCCACGTTAGTCCACCGCTGCCGCAGTCGGTCGTATTTTTGTGCAATCGACCAGAGCATTGTCGTTGAGCGTTGCACGTAAATTCTGTCAATTGATGCAGTATCAGCAGAGCAGTAACCATGAGTGACGATGAGCTCGCAGACATCATGACGACGACCAAAACTTTATCTGAAAAGTAAAAATAATGTACGTGGAAATAGATAAAGCATAGAATCAAAACGACGAACGCATATGATGAAGGCCAGCTTAAATAACAGAATATTCGATATGTTTCGTAATCTAACCATCTTTTTGAATTAAAGATCATATTTAAAGTTGAAAAAATATAATTCATGCATGGATTAAAGATCAGATTATAAGCTAAATATGGAGTGTTAAAAAAATCGATCCCGCGAGTTATGATATAGGTAATAATATAGTAAACTAGTGTTATGTGAGAATGCCAGAATGGTACCGAATTATGTGTGTAGCGAGGGTGTTTTTCTTGCGAGAATCCAACAATGTTCTACTGGTTGTAAGCATGTACTTTATCGAACGTTTTACATTCGTATTTATAATTCTAGCAATTTATCCAAATACGTGTTCTCTTGGTTTCCGTGTCGGCGTTTATTATTATCGATGCGCACATCGATCATTTTTTGTTTACTTGGTCGGCCTTCGTCGTAATAGAACTGAACGTTATAAAAAAATAACTTAACTATTTGTTTTTCGTAAACGAATCGACAATTTTCCAGATGACCTTGTGGTCGGTGGCCTTTGTCCGAGCACGCGAATGCATTAAATCGTTTATCTGTATCAACTCGTACGAAAATAGTTTTTTATTTGTTTCTAAAACCATGTTATTACTTTTTTGAACTTATATTGCATGTAAAAAATAGAAAATATATTCACATTTCTGTAAGCAAGCTTAAAAAATATTCTATTTAAAATACAATTTTTTTAAACATAATTTATAAATTCAAATTTAACAGTTTAATAATTAATGGTTTATAATCATAAAAGACAATAATATTATATAGAAATTATTTTGTATAATAGTATTAATAAAAAAAAACTTTATCAATATTATTAATTATTAAAAAAAATATACTGGCGCATATATCAAGATATTTAAGACAAAATTTAATTATAGAGAAGTATATAGTATATACCTACACAATATACTCACTTTTATAAGATAATATTATACAAGATACATTTGAACATACATCTGGACTCTAAATTAATTATATTTGTATTTGTTTTTACGCAAAAGTTTAAAAAATAATATTTGATGCATTGGTCACATATTCTATGTATTCTATGACCTATATACATACATTTGTATAGGTACTCTAATATTGACGTTAGCCTTTTTTTTGCTATATCGCATTTGGGAAAAGTTCTAGTCATAATATTATCAATACATATTGAACGGTCATCACAAATGGGCAAAATCAACTTGTGGGTAATTCTCCGAAGGTTAAACTTTCAGAAAACCATACGCGGTGCATATATTTTGATATGGGTGGGTCTCTCTATCTTTAAATTATTCAAAATATTATATTTAGTGCACTGTAACATAATACAGTAAGTAAATTGTATATAATATAATAATATGTAATAATGTTTCCTTTTCTCAATTGAATAATAACTTGTAACCGGATTGGATTATAATGAATTTTAAATTGCATTGCCTCAATATTGTTTAGCATAAATTTAATTAATTATTTATAATATTATAATACAATGCGAGTGGTGTAATGTATAATAAATTGCTGTTGGGTAAAATATCGATAAGCAAAAAACGATATTAGTGATATTGCATGGTTACAAATATGAAAATTTTTGTGTCAAGTACAGTAGGTAAACCTATGTTATTATATTTTATTCCGAGTATATAGGTAAGTAATTAATATTTGGTGTTTTCATAGTTTAAATTTTTATTTTAATATACATTAACATTTACGTATATTTAAGGTCACCATACCGCCGATGTTATAAAATCAATAATATTAATTACTTTAACTAGTTAGTTTAATCATTTATTCACAATTATTTCAATATAATAACATTATTATTATCATAGTGTCTTTAAAGGTTATAGGTTACGGAATATGCGTTTACCCAATACTATAAAACTTGAGTCAGTGAAGGTGGCACTTCACAGGAAGGAAGCGAAAGTTCTCATTTCTAATTCTAAGTGATCTTTATTTACATTTGAACGAATGTCCGGGTGTTAGGTAATCATACTGATGGAAATGTAAAACCGGTTTTTAAATGGTAACTGTTTGCATATTTTTATTGGGGTGTTAGCTTACACAATGAATCTATCTTTTATACCGAATTATGTGTAAAAAATACAGCGGCTGAATTACGATAAAAAAAATATATATACAAATTTTTTATTCTTTACCTACGAGGAAGTAATTTGTGTACAAATAATAATATTAAAAACATATTTATTAGATATTTACTTATAAGTTATAATATTAGTTTAATAATTTAATTAACTTTAGAAAGTCGTAATTTAATAACAGCATGGTAAAAAAATCTTAGAATTCATGAAACAAAGAAAATTTATAGTTCTTATTTTTAAACATAAATATTAAATCTGGTTAATTAATTTTTACTGCATTGTATGTAAATACCTACTATGCATACTTTTACAAATATAGTGCCAGTAGTGGTAAATAACTCAATTTTATTGTTATACAGTTATTGCATAATATAATCTACATAACAAAATCTTAAAAGATAAATTTTTAAATTATTTTTGTTTTTATACATATAAAGATCAATTAAATATAAATTTCAAAATACTAACTTAGTGTCCACATCTTACTAATATAACAAATGTAAAGAAATATGCACGAACACGTAAGTGCAAAATAAAACTAAAACTAAATATTTAAACATGTAAAAAACATTTTTATAAACTCCAATTACATATTATAAAACAAATTTTTATAACCTATAGCAGTGCGTACAAGAATAACATTGAAGAAGCTTCCTCTCTTGTAAGCTAAATTTTTTCTTCTATTTTAGTATATCTTAAATTGTAATTTTTAAGCAATCTTATATCTTAAAATTATCTTTTTATCTTTAAAAATGCAATAATAATTAGCAACAATTTCTGTTACTTACAATATTGACTCCCCCTCACCCCCACACCGACAAAATATTCGCACACCTATGTCTATAACACAAAGTTAGAATATTTTGAACGGTTATTAAAAAAACTTAAAATATTTTCACTTCTTTATTACATGATATCAATATTCTAAAATTTAATTATTTCAATGATTCCGCTAAAACCACGGCAAGGTCGATTAAACAAAATATTATAATCTTATTGGTTTATTTTCAGCAGATTTCATGATATGACAAAGAAGTGTGCGAAGGTCGTAAACGGTGTTACAAACTACAATTATATACACTGAAACCTCTATTAATGGACACCTCTCAATAGTGGACCCTTCCCAATAGTGGACACTTTAAAATTCCGCGGCAAAAATGTATACACATAATAGGAGTTATAACCTCTTAATAATGGACACTGTTAATAGTAGATCTGGACCATATCGAAAATTTTTAAATAATAAAAATACTATATTTATCTTTCATACATTTTGTTTATATTTTATCTTATTCTAAAGGTTTTCCTATTCAAAAAATGACAAATAGTTCGGTTATGTGTTCGGTCATCAGTTGTGTGCTGCACATTGTGTGAACACGTACCTATGTTACAATTTTTATATCCACTTTTTACTACAAAATATCATATATATATAATAATAAATTAATATTTCGATATATACCAATTTCAATGTATATATATATATATATGTGTGTGTGTGTGTGTGTATGTGTATAACCAATTTTCTATAGCATCTCTCTATAGTGAACATTTAGTAATTTCTTGTAAATGTCCACTATGTAGAGGTTTTCTCAATAGTGGAAAACTCCCTATAGTGGACATTTTTTAATTCTATAAGTACTCCGTATAAGTCGAAATAACGTGTATGTGGTCCGGTGTGGACCTTTCCAAAACATTCCAACGAATCATACATTTATTATATTCCATTTTAGATAGCCATGTGAAATAAAATATATGATATGCAGTAGCATACCTGTGGGGACGGAGTGTCCCGGTGACCAATGGATGATAATATCACAAACATATGTACATTGATATTAATATAAAATGTTTTAATATTTGCGATGCGTTTATTTTTATTTTTAGTTCTTAAATTTCATACTCAATATATAATATTTTATTTATTGATACATACATACTGAGAATGAATAATTGTTGTAGGCCGTTGGGGGAGATTTTTACCATAGAAATTATTCCACCATTAAGCTACTAAAGAATGAAAAAATATTCCACTCTTCACAAAAACTACCAAGAAACTTTTTATATGGTAATAAACGAAATGATAGAAAAATCTACCGCAAAAAATTGCCATCGACATACTGTGAGACGTTCATTGCAGACATTTTTCACAGCGATAATTATTGTATACGGTATAAAATATTAGATCATCATAGGTATAGGTTTTTAATTTTTAATCAGGTAGTGTTATTATATTTATTTACTTGGCCTGCTTGAACTGCTCTAAATGTTGTATGTATCTAAAATATTTAATATATTTATATATTATATATTATTTACGAGCACTCGTAATGTACATTATTTATTATACAATATTTATTTTGTAGTTTATACTTAAGATGGTAATTTTTTACGTCGTTTATTTTTAGATTTAAAAATGAGAGAACGAGAAAAGTAAATATTATATAAGCCAACTGATTTTAGAATTATATTTTGGTAAGAAATAAAAAAGTCTTAAAGGCTTCCATGTAGCTCTATCTATTGGTAGTGAATTGAATCTAATTTGTACTTAGAAATATTTTGTAGGTATACGTAGTTTATTCAAGTATGACGGAAAACTTTCAATAACAGTCGAACGATTTAAAACAAAAGTACAGTATACAATATTTGCTCTAATGTCATGAAGACTATAATGCCAATAAGCGGACAATTGTTATCATTATATTATAATTTTTATCTGTCATGAGTAGTTTTTTAGTCATAGCGTATGTAATGATAGCCATTCATAACCGAGTTATACAAAAAAAGTGGCATCATCATAATATTTTATACATTCACTATACTATTATAAATACGGTCACACAGATGTTTACATTATGATCATGGACATCTGTGGTCAGTTATTGTTATGTTGATATCTTCACATGAAAGGGTTAACCCTGCCGGCCGGGATGAGACCCATCGACCATCGGCGACTCGGACTCGACTTCTTTCTCCCTGTATACGCCTTTGGTCGTGGTATATGTTAAATGTAAAGTATATTTGTGTTATCCAATAAATTGTGTACGTGTTAAATAATAAAAGTTCTGTTTTTATAGTAATAGTGTATATCCCGTGTTTTTTTAATTAATATAAAACCTGCACATCACTCCTGCGTTGATAACCAAACAAGGGTAAGTCAATTTGATATATATAATAATATTCTTATATGTATAATGGTGTATGTACAGTGTACACATTACATATAAGAGGGCAGTAGTCCAGATCGTCCGCACAGCAAATATAAGAGGTAAACGCATATAGGTATATACGTTGTGCGAGCGTGTCTACTTCGTATTACTATACGTATTACAGTTTTTACGTTTACCATATAAAAATACACAAGTAGTTGTTTGTAATTATTATTTATTAAAATGATGTATACTTTAACTGGTATGTATTAAATTTACCTTAACTTGAATTTATGTGATTATGCTTAAATTATCCATGAGCTGTCATGATTTTGACACATGAGTGATGGATTATGCTACATGCACCATGTGGTTACTCTAATAATTAATTACAATACATTTATACCAGTAGGTATCACATAAACTAAAAATTTTAAGGTTCTTTATTATTATAGTAATTCAAATAGTTTGTGTCATTTAACATACATTTATATATTGATTTTGAAGTCTGATCAATGATCATAATAATATTTATTCTTCAATGAAAATAATTTTGTGACAAGTTAATAATATTGTTGCACTGATGATAATATATATTATTCTTTAAATAAATATTTACCATTGAAGATAAAAAAAAAAAAAAGATATTAAATATTTTAGGCACATTTTAATCGTGTAAAATTAAGCAATACAATGCATTTATACATGTATAGCTTGGGTTTCGTTATGACATAACTACATTTATATCCACAGTCTACTTGGAAACAAATACATTTTTCACATGTTCGCAAATCATTGTTCTTTTGGACTTAAAATGTAATATCGTGGAGATCAGATATGCGAGTTACGTTACAAGTTATTATGTTACGAATTTTGGCGGTGTTTCTGGAGATTTTTATTTTTATATTTTATTACATTAATTGTAAATATTACAACTTACAAGAAAAGAAAGTTTACGTAATGCCCCTCTAAAAAATCCTTTTCTGTTGTTTATACGATGGCTGTAGCGGGAAAGAAAAAAACCAACATCCATGATAGGCTTATTGTATATAGTAGATCAGCTGAGATAAACGCGGAGTTACAACTACTTTTATTACATAAACCGGTCACGAATGTGCTCTGAATATAAAAGGCGATATTGGATTTATGTGTGTAGACTATAGGTATATTGTGCTTGTGTACATACCACTTTTATAACTACTATACCCATAGAATTAAAATAACTTTAAAATGAGTCTTCGTATTTTATCATAAATAAATCGTATTGTTTAGTGGGCATAGAAACGACCTATCTACTACATATAATTATGTGTTTTACATTTTTTGTAATTATTTAATATGTACCTACGTCAATAGGAAGTGACGAATTGTAAAATTAATAATATCAAGCATTAATACATTATAGATAGAACCCATAAAGTTTTATGTGTTAAATAAAATTATGAAATCTATACATAAATAAATTATTAATGTATTATCACATTAATATAAAAATATTTTCAAAAATATAATTCTGTAGAAAATAAATAAATTTAAAAAATAAAGATTACATATCAATATTTATTTTTGTAACCCTGAAAAATATGGTCATCATTAATAGACAGATATAATGTTAATAATATATATTCGTATTATACATTATTAATAGAATAATACCAATTCATAATTATTTTTTTTAATTTATTGATTTTGAAAAAAAAATATAAGAATCTATTGATTAAATAGTTAGTTTTTGCATTCATATATTATATATGTATATAAATCTATGCGTATTATTAACATTCAATTTAATTTTAAAATTAATACTAATGTATAAATACATTAATAATTATTAAATGTAATATTTTTAACTATTTTTCACGGATGTCACCGAACATCTTTATAGTTTGTAAGTTTTTTTAAAATCTTTTAATAATTTTATATATTTTCTAGACGATCCAAATACATGATATTTTATTTGTTATTAATAATCATGCGGAAATATGTATTGCATATGTGTTTTGAATGATAAGTGTAAAGACATGAAGAAATAAATTTTTGAATATTGGACTCAGACCGACTTTTAGAATATCAATACGTCGTTATAAAACGAATAGATTTTCAATTCAAATATACAAAAATATGCATGTAATGTATATAAATTATCCAGAGAATTAGTAATAACTGTAATTGAACGTTTGCCAGATTTTTTTTGTTTTTTATAGAGTGATGACTGATGAAGTGATGAGATTTAAACATGTGTGGACAAATTTGTTAAATTTCATTAACCAATTTGATCGCTTTTAGCTAAGTAGGTACACGATTGTTTAACGCTAACAAAAGTAAGAAATATTTTTTATTTAAATAGACCTATTATATATACATTACTAATTGTTGTACGTATAATAATGACGTAATAAATGGAATGCAGACAAATATTTTCAGTATCAGACTATTCAGACTGTTAAGACTCCATGACTGGCGTCATACAATAATAATTACGAGTATAATTGTAATTACGTAATACAAATACGCACAGATGTCGTATGTTATAGTACAATACTGTGTACAAATATCGAAAAGTTGACAACTTGTACGACGAAAATGACATTGAGTTTATACTTTAAAGTTAAATCACGTTCATCACGCACTAAAAACTTCATTATGTTTTCGCAGTTGGTCGTGTTTGAAAAAAAATTGTCAAAAATAAACAATTTTTTCGAAAGTAATAGTAGGTAGGTATCACCTACATAATATTATACGAGTTTCGCTAATGTCTACACGAGGTCCTGGACATGAACTGTCATCCGGCCACCGGTATAATAATACGGATAACTTACTGTATACCATACAAATAAAACGATACAATACAGCACCATATCGACGGTATGTCGTGTGTGCGCAGCTGCACATGGTATTTAGCCGCACACACGCAACCGTTGTTATCGTACGAAAGTGACGACGACGGGGCCCGCTGTTTTTGATTTTTTTTTTTGTCGTTGCAGCTCATATGCGTACACGCAATATAGGTGATATGATGTGATTATTATGTTTTACGTTTTTATTGTCATGGGTTTTGTTAAATGTGTCGAATTTGACGGTTTCAGAGGCTGCGTATTATACTCGTGTTGCTCTCTCTCTCAAAAAAAGGTAAATTAGACTGATATTCAATTCAAAAAGCATGCTGATCGTTGGCTATACCCTGTATACTCATGTAACTGTAAACGCCATTAATTATTATTATAGTTTATTATAAACTGATAAAAATTTTAATCTTGCGGTTTACAAGTTCTTGGCTTTGCAAAAAGATTTTTTAAATATTCGTTATCAGCTTAGGTATTATAATATCTAAGACTTAGGTTTTAGTAGCGGTCATAGCGCTAGACAACGAAAAATTATTAGAAGTCAACAGAAAATATATCTTATAAACATCATTTGATCTGTAAACAAATTAAGAACTTAATTTAATAATTTTAATACAATTTTGGTTTTTTATAGTAAAATAATTACTGATCAAATTTTTTTAACAGATACTATATGAATATATTATTATAAATGATAACAAAATGTAATAATATTGTCTACAACGAGATTTTATATATTTTCATTATTACTAACCATGACTATGTAGATGCAGTAAAATATTAAATTATAATTGAATACTAATTGGCAATACCGATCATTTTGTTCTAAAACATAGATAATAAATTACAATGTTACTTGCAGGCTGCAGCTCGATTAAAACGTACCCTATATAGACCTTTTAATTAATTTGTACAAACATACTAGGGCTATCACCTATCAGATCGGAGATAAGGTACACCGAAGGGTATCGGGATACAGTTATTCACCTATTACGAACAATTATTTTCCAGATTCGGTAGTGAACGGGTATGCACTGGTTTGGAAAGCTTGCATGGGCAGTGTGTACACAGTACAAACTCCGCCGCACAAGCCGAGATAATGGAAACACGTAAAGGCTGTCCGAGGGTCAAATCACATCGTTAGGCGACGACGACGACAAAAACTAATAACATTATTATGATGTACACCGTCGCGACCGATACATCACAATAACCCGTCGAGCCGAGAGACCTTGACCTTCGGCCGAGCCACCGTCGCCGAAGACGGCGGGCCCGACACGTCCGCGTCAATGCCACCGGCGCGAAAAAATGTTTACGAAAACGACGAAAAAACCGAAAACAAAAACGTATATCACAACGTCTAATAATAATATGCATAAACGCGCGATACGAGAACGAAATAAAAAACAACAAAAAGCCGATATACCGTTACGAGTACGAAAAACTGACACGTCTGTCACGATAGCCACGCACACACACGCACACACACGTATATAATATATCTATTTATATAGAACATGCGTTATAATATATAATATAATTTACGGTGACAGGTCCGATAGCGAACATAATATCTGCAAGTCGTCCGCTGCCGTTTCGCGACCCACCGGCACAAAGCGTTTGCGGCGGTCTACCGCATTGAATCGTAGCTGAACCGCGAGCGCGTCCCGCCGGAGCAGCGGTTACCGCGGTACACGTGTACATAACAACACAATACATGTTTAAGGTCCATCCGTGCGACCAGCTCAACCGCGTTTACCTCTGCCTGTTACCGGATCGTCCCGCGATGTCCGGCGGTTTCCGCGCGGCGGCGGCGTTGCTGGTGGTCGCGGTTTTCGGCGCGGTGGCCGGCTCGGACGCGCCCGCGTTCGTGGCCGCGTACTCGCTAAGCGGCCAGAACGTCGAGTGGCCGTGCACGTCCACCAAGAGCGTTTACGCGGACACCGGCCGGTACGTGGCCAAGAACGTGATCGCTACCAGGGTCCAAGTGTGGGGCGACCGGGCGTTCGTGCTCACGCCCAGGTTCCGGTCCGGCGTACCGTTCACCGTGTCCGCTGTCCGGCTGGAATGCGAGCACAGGTGCTGGCCGGTGCTGTCGGCGTACCCGTGCTGGGCGCTGCACGACGAGGGCGACCCGAACGCCATACAGAACGCCGTTGACATTTACTTGGACCCGACCGGCTTGCTGTGGGTGCTCGACAGCGGGCTGGTCAACACCGTGGAGCAGCCTGTCCGTCGGACAAAGCCCAGGATATTCGCCATAGACGTCAAAACCGACAAGGTCAGTGTCACGAAATTTGTAATTCTTTCTATTGCCGGCATAAATATGTCATCAGTTTACTTTTGGATTGGGTTAGTTAGAGGTCAGTTACCTTTGGTAATAGGTATACACAAATGTAAATTCTAAATTAATATTTTCGCGTGTTAAAAAATAAATTCCAAATAATATTTTCAAGAAGTACATTTGAATACCTACACCTTTTCTTTGCCGAGCACATCGGTAGGAAATCTTTAAGCGTGGGATTTATAACTATTAATTTTTCCGATTGAAAGCGAAAATAAAAAATGATAATTTATCGGTGAATTTAATGGTAAATTCAATCAGTACGATTATTTTTTGAGCAAACCTGTAATATTTCTATCATTTAGGAAGTGGGAATATTTTTTTTTTGCACAATAAATATTTTCGTTTTGCATAAATTGCAAAGACGAGTGTAATACACGAACACGATATACGTTTTTCGCGGATTAATTACATCCGAACCACAATCAATAAAAACAACATTTCAACAAAATATAATTCATACATGATATGCGATATTCCATATTTATTGGACCATCTGTCTAGGCTTAGTTATGTATTATATTTGTGTAAGCTATTGTATGATAATATTTTAAATAACGATTGGCAACACATAAAGTTATGATTGATAATATTATGTAAATAACCGTATTAAATGCGAAGCGGCTAAATGACATGTTATTATACAAGAAATTAGGGAGATAAATAACTATTATAATATTATGGCCTGACTCCCTAGAACAGCATACTTACTTCACCCTTAATGTCACATTCATCCAACCAAATTTATCATCGGTATTTTGATTAACCTGCACACAACGCTAAACAAATTTATAGATGAGTGTATGCGTATTCTTTTGTATCGAATGTCTTCGACTTGGCAAAATGATTTAAACATTATGCGACTGCGTAACATCGTATCAAAAGTTCATGACAAAATCCAATAAGAATCTAATTTCCCTAAGTATATAAAAATAAACATAAATCCCAACGACGCAAATATTTTATAGTCTGTGGTTGTTCGCTAAGTGTTTTTAAATCGTTTTCTCGTATATCTGAATTTTAGAGTTTATCCTTATATTTCTTCGAAACTATCTACGCGTAGTTATGTTTTATGTAACAAATCGACTCGAGAAGAGCCGTTTTTATAAATTTTGTATTATATTAGTATGCTGTTACGGCGTCGTATCAATACACAAAAAATATATGAAATTGAATACTCTGTAGCAATGAAGCACATAATATAGACTTATTTAAACTATATAAATAAAAGATCAAAAGACAATAATATAATGTATCTATTTTAAGTACAAACAATATATATATAAATATTTTAACATATATAAATAATATAACCTATTTTTGACTCTATAACAGTGTATTAATATTATCAATGCCACTGTTTGCTGGTATTGTTTTCAAAAAGCAATGTCTTTGACCGCAATATGTTATAATATTTTATGCTTGGTTTATGTTTTAAAACTTTAAATTCTAGGCTTTGATGGGTAGGGGAGCATACCGCTTTACGGTTTCTGATGATTTTTAAATTTTCACCAACCATTCCAAATTTGGAGAAATCCTAAACACGACACTGACATTAAATCTACAAGAATGGTATCGCAATAGAATCTTATTGTACGCATTTAGTTATGTTAGTATAGTCATTATATTATAGTCGGTCGAAAGTGTCTCTCGTACCACCCCTGTGTAGCTGCTAGATATAGAGTATATTATTGCTGCGTGATAATTTATAATCTGTTCAACGCCAAAATGGATTTCCCGAACCCTTCTCTTTGTCCATTATACGCACCCTCTAACACTTTCAATTGACCCCCCGTCGAGTCCAGACTAACCGCGTGCGACAATCACGATATCTGCCGGTTCGTTGGTTTCCCCTCTCCATTACCAATACTCTTGTGCCCAAAACATCGGTGAAAATAGCGTTATTGCTTTAGGGCGGCAAAACTTATGTCGTTGTAATTTAAATTGTCTCTGTCTCTCTGTATAATACTATATTATATGTAATATAATATAGTAAAGGGGTTCATTGGTGCGTCATTGCATGTCAACTTCCAAAACGATAGAACAATAATGTATATAGGTATATAGGTATTATATATAGAATTTAGTTTATAATAAACACGCATGTGAGGTACGATAATAATTAATATTATTATGTATAGTTTTAAGTGACAGGGTTTAACTTATGGAACTTGATACCCATAAATACTGTTAACATCTATTTTACAGGCAATATGGCAACATTTTAGGTTAATAGAAAAGTTTAAACACCTGTTACCGAAAAATGTGATCAGAAGAATATTTTCAAGATGATGTCACATTGTCGTTTTTATAAAAATATATTCTCTAATAAAGAAGTTTCAATAAAATATGTTATATATAACATATAATAACTAGTAAAATAAAATGTGAAATGCTGCAAAATATCATAGCTCAGCGTTAAAAAATATTTTATAAAAAGGATATGCCGCTATCTTGAAAATATGGACACCACAATTTCGATTTTGTGTAGTGGAATTTCGTCATATTTTTCAATGTTTATAAAATAATCAGATAGGGTATTGTATATAAGGTATTACGTCTTAGAAGATGTCATATGTAAAGGAAGTAGTTAATAACACTGTATGTATTTTATTAGCTCTATTAATTTTGTTGTATACCATGTTATGTTATACGAAATCACTATATTTCCATGTATTTTATAATTAAAAATTTTCTTAAATTAAAAATGTGACTACTGATTCCAAAATCCTATCGAATTTTTTTTTGAAAACCCCGCACTTAATGCATTGCATAATTATATATTATTTATTTATTCATGTAGGTATATACAATAATATTGCTTATACTTATCAGAACGTATTTTCACGTACAAATAATATATATAGATTCCATAAAATCATTTATACACTGACATGCATATATTTCACAATTAATATTGTATCAATAAATAGGTAGACAATAATTTAAGTAGAAATTACGCTTAGATTTAAATGTACCTTATTTTAAAAAGTAACTTAAAAAAAAAAATATTAGTTTGTTTTAATTAAATTTCAGGGTTTTTTTTCAGCTATTTAAGATTTGTATTTTTATACACTTTTACATTTTGTACTCAAATCGTAGAGCTGTTAAAAATAGTTTCACGTAATAAACAATGTAAATTAAAAGATAAATAAATAAATAAAATAAATTAAACATCGAAAAAGACATGGGGAAATTCAAAAACTCATTTAATTGTGTATTAGATTTTTTTTTTTTAGCTTTTAGTACATAACTATAATAACTCAACAATTATTTAAAAGATTTTTACTATGAAAAAAGCACAAATAATTGGCCATATAAGGCATTTTAATTCGATTGCATACTTGCATACTCGTACCTATATTATTTTGTCGAGTAAATTGACCTCCATAAAACCAAAAAGATAGTTAAAACACATTTAAAATTAATTTATATTTTATACGTTTACTAGTACTGTTTAATATCTGTATGTGTAAATATTTAAAAACTAATTTTCACTTTATAAAACCTGATTACTTCGTGTGATAAAATCCATAGTATCTATTCGATTATTTCAGATACCATAAAGACCTTTATCTGAAGATAGCAGATTTGCATAAATAACACTCATTTAAAATAATAACAATCTATAGAAAAAGGGTATTTTTTTTGTTTTCTACATAATTTAGATTGTATCTTTGTTTTAATAACAAATAGGTACTAAACTGGCCTTATAAATGTGTTTGCAATAACATCGTCGGGCAGTTAGATTAGAATTATAGATGTCTATCGTCATAAATATAAAATATGCTCTTCAGGATTTAAATAGTTTCAAATTAACTATACAATGTTTAAATCAATATAAGATTTTATTTTGCACTTACTTTTTAGTTTCATTAATGTTTGCAATATTATTAATAAATAAAACTGCATTTTCTCTTTCACATCTCAAATAATATTAACAATTTAAAACATTGTGGTGCTAATATTGTATACTTGGTTTGTTTTTAATACTTTCTTAAGATTTTAATATTATGCAAGTTAATAAAAATTAATTTCTTACTGACTGGTTTCTTTTTACATAAAATAGTTTAAAATAAAATTATATCTAATTAAAAACCAAAAAACGAGTTGACAAAAAACTATTTTTTTCTTTACGATTATTATGTAATGTCAATAAGTTATCTGTATTTTTATTTATTTTAATAGTATAATTTAAGAGAAATTATGAATAATGTAGCTTGCACGTTTAAAAAATAAAAGTTTAATAGTTCATAAAAAGCATTACCTCTATACATTTAAAAACACTTCTTATATATTAAACAATTTAATTTTCATATTAATTTTTATTTTATTTTTTAAACACGTGAAATAAATTCATTTTTTAAATTGAGATTTTGCATTACTATTTGAAAATAAATTACAATTATTTCTTCAGCAATATATTCATAAGGAAGATACATTTTTAAATTTAAAATTGTTTCTAAATTACTATTGCATAATTTAGAAATTGATTTTTTAGTAGAGTAAGTAAAAGGACATAATACTCGTTGAGAAACTATTTTAGTAGATATAGTTATAAATAATAAGTATATACTATATGTTTTAGTACTATAAGTTTTAATCTAATTATAAATTAAAAGAAAGGAATAATTTATAATAACTTTGATAGACTATGACTGGCATAATGTAATTGTTGATATAGGAATTGCAGTTGGTATCAACATTATTTATATATATAAATTATAGTCGTGAACTTCCTTCAAATTTGGCCCTGATCACCGGTAGCTATTATATGGTACCTACACCGAACGATATTTTATTGAAATAAATAAACAGAAGAATTAATAAAACCAGAAACGCTATTTAAAGCGATAATATTTTATGGTCGTAAAATAACAAAATACACATTGTGAAAGATTTCTGTCTAGTAGTTACTATTATAAATCATTTTGGTT